GTAATAACAACATCGAGATTTTCATAATAAGAAATTTCTAAATTGATTATACATTTATTAATATATGAATTTTAAGTTAATAATGTTGATCTGAATTTCACATTAGTTCCTATTTCGGACGTCTATAAATTTCTCTATATTTTAATTTAGGGTAAATTAAGTAGGCAAGTACTATTTAATTAAAAAATTTCATAAAATGATTAATTTTTAATATTATTTATTTAGTGCATTTTATTTATTCAGTGCATAACCATCCTTTTCTATCTTAGTACTGTTAAGTCTTTAATTAGAATTAGATTTATTATTTAATAAGTCGCTATTTTATCCAAAATAACTTAAAAAAATCGAGAATCAAATAGTCAGATATTTTAAAATTGGCACCAAAAGAAATACGGAAACGACAGTTTATAAGTGATATTCGCATGCTTCGCATAGAGTACACATTGATAATTGTTTCCGTTGATGCCTGAGTGGTTAGCATGTGGTTAACTTTTCTGGGTAAATGTGAATTTTATATTTCATAATTAGAAGCGTTTTTTGAGGTAAGTTTAAGGCAACTTATGTAATTAACAAAACCGAATACATTTTTATTCCTTCTTAGCACGATCATTCTATAAAAGATTACAGGTTGTTTATCTAACCTAAAAGACTTTGAATTTAAATTTTCTAATAAAACATTTGTACCAAATACCGTGGGATTTAACTACAAAAAAATACGTCATAAAAATATGAACAATAGATAATGGATTTATTATTAAATAAATTGCTATTTTATCCAAGATAAATTCAATAATTTAAAAATCAAATAATCCGCTATTTTGAAATTGGCACTAAAAATACTACCGAAACGAGAATTTGTAAGTGATCGCATGCTTTGCATAGAGTTCGTATTGATAATTGTCTTCATTGATGCCTGCTGGTGATTAGCAAGTGATTGGTTTTTATTGGTAAATGTGAATTTTATAACTCACAAGTAAAAGTTGTTTGTGGTAAGTTTAAGGCAACTTATGCATTTAATAAAAATTATACTTTTTTATTCGTACTTGACACTTTTTTCTATAAAAGATTACAGGTTGTTTACCTAACCCAAACGAGTTTGAATTCAAATTTTTCTGCTACAAAATTTTCTATATCTTTTAAGATAAAGAATGAAGTAAAATTCAATATAGGTAATCTTTGCTATAGACAGAAGCATTTAGTTAATTATAGAAAACATTATTATTGAAGTATATTTTTTTAAAAAGTCAGGAATTGTTTCTGTTGATAAAACTGATAAAATTAATATATTACAGTTAATTACCTATAAATTATCGTTTATTATAGAGGGCATATTTCAACATTAGTTGTATTTAATTTAATTTTCGATACACCTTGTGTAAGAAATGGTTTTATATTTAATTTATCTAAGACGCACGAAATAGGACAAGACAAAATTAAGAGATACCTTTAAGATTATAAGCGCACATTGGTTTTTATCCATCTTCAGCTAATAGACCTACATACTGTATTTATTTAATGAGTTTGGTACGTCTGGGTAAAATCAACTGCTTCTGAACCGAACATATACATATAGGTACACCCACTCTTATTACAGGAGGTGTGATAAAAAAAATCATTAATAGTTCGTTCGCCTCCAGATTCAGTCTAAAAGATGTCTAAATTAAGACAAGTGCGAAAATCAATNTTATTATAGTCAGTCTTGAGTGCAATTGATTCATTTGTTTATGTTTATCATCTTTAGTAACAACTATTTTATTCGTCTCTATACCACCTTCTGATTAACAATAATATCAAATTATTAAAAATATATATACTTTTAAAAGGAAGCAGTCATTTTCCCAGAGTTTACATATTGAAAACAATATTTACAAATAATATTGATTGCTTTTTTAACTGAATATTTACAATATTATTAGAATTTTTAAAACAAAATCATCATAATTTGTATTTCTTTGGTATGGATTCCGTTTTTTTGACCTTAGCTACTGACCTCTGTTTCCTTTTCAATTTTCTTCCATTACAAGTTGCGTTTCACGTCAAAAGGTTACATCACTTTCAATCAGGTCTCTGACTGGAAGGTGTAGACCATTCTCCATCTTCAGCTGCAAACATATGTTATTTTTAATAAACTGTTTCACTATTACAAAACTACAAACACATCTCTGGCAAAATATCACTAGAATCACTAAAATCACTTTTGTGTAAAATTATTATTTCTAATTTTATCCCAATTCTTTTTACCAAAGATCTGAATGTATGTGATTTGATAATCTTACTATTAATAGTTAATAAACCTTACGTGACTTAAAAAGCAGGTAAAGCACTTTTCGTAGTTTAATTATTTTGTATATAAATTGCGATTGATATATTGAGTATCTATACTTTTTATACAAGTCACTACTCTGAGACATGAAGTTATAAACCCTTGTTTTCACCTTATCACCACCGTCACCTTATTTTTTCTCCAGTTTCTGTGGGTTATTTAAAAAGAAATAATTTTTAATTTTCTGATAAGCAGTGTAATATTTTGTTCAAAAAAGCCGAGATATTTATATTTAGAAGTAAAGATAATAAAGTAATATATAAAAAATACTTTAATTTCTTTTATTAGTTATTGTCTGTCTGGAAATGATATAACAATACATGTCCATAAATAAGAAAGTGTATCAATGCTACCAGGTGTTTATCATATTTTTTTTTAAATTGAAGTATTCTTGGTATTTTGGTGGAGGCGCATGGGGCGGTGATGAAAAATTGAAAATATGCAAAAAGGGAATAACTTATTCTAACCTTATCCAACATGGAAAGAATTTTTTTGGAGTGATATTCGTATTTTTTGGGGCACCAAACAAACATCGCTCCATTACGTTAATTTATTTATCAAATTTTCAGTCGTTTTAAAATTATACAATTAAAACAATGCCTCAGAGTAGCATCATGTTGCAATAAGCCTAAGCGTTTATAGGTGCGCATTTTGTAAAACGTCTAGGCGTATGACAAAACGTCTCTGAATATGTCAGTCATATTGTAAAATTTGCTGCTTAATTGCAAGTTTTATAAAATGCCTAATGCCTAATAAGTATGTCTCGTTTGTTTCATATTAGCAAATTGTTTAGTGCGATTGGTGCAGAAAGAAAAATTATATAAGAAGAAAGATAACGACGATAAATGACTAAAAATATGTATTAGAAAGACGAATCATGCAAGGAAATATTAGTAAAACATCTGCAACTCACAACAAATCTATTATCTAAATAATTACAATTTTACCTACTTATAATTATACTTGTGTAAATTTAGTGCATAGATTAGTAAAGTTATTTGGAAATTGTTGTTAATTTTTACAAATGTACAAAATGGAGTTTACGTACCTATTTTACAAAAAAGCTAATTCCAGGAAGTCCCGCATATTTCCAAATACACAATACTTTTCCTTTATTCTTTTTTCTTATTTTTTTACTTTTCGTTAGAATAGGTTCAGATACTGTAACTTTTCTTAATAGAGGCGTGCAAAAATTAAACTCCTTTTACTTGTGTGTTTTCACATTCAATGTGAAGTTTATTTAAAATAATTTACAGATCGGTCTTATTACAAAAATCGTCATACCTTATCCAGTAGGTATCTCTGAAATTTGTTGTGAGTATAAGATGCGTTAATAAATAAATATATCTACATGACTTTGTACAAAATTAATTAAATAAAATGAAAAGAACAGAATTCGGTCCCTGACTAATGTTTGAACATTGGTGATGTTAACGTAGCACTTATGCTATCGTATAATAACATTATATAAACATGTATGCGCGCGTGTGTGTGTGTGTGTGTATCGACTGCATAAAATTACGATTTTTTATTAAAATTAACAGTCTTATAAAATACATCAATATGTTTTATACAAATGTACAGAATTCGAGTAAGATAAATTTACGTAGCAGACAATTAATTACAGGACTACGAAACGTAGCCGGAGTATTCTTATTTACAGTAATAATAATTTACAGTAACAAGTAATACAGTCTCAGAATTTGCTATTCTTTCGGTATTGTTTTGTTTTTTAGTCATTTAATGTTTTTCAGCAATAGTATGTCGTAGTTACGCCTACTTTACAAGGAAATGACATACTGGAGTGATTTGTTACATCTTTCTCTTCACAACGCTTGCCCGTGAACCCATCTGGACACCTGAAAATTAAAATTGTAACGTTCATTATGCGCCTTTTAAAACAACACAAAATTTTCTTATCTCCACTTTAAATCAAACAAGTGTCAAAGAAGTAGGTACAAACTTTACTGGGTACTCCTTAATAAACGGTAAAAAATATTAGTATTAACGATAACTGAGGAGGTCGTTGTTTTGCTTTAAAGAGTGCGAAACGATCGGTCACACGGTTCACGCGTGCGTGAACAAATGTATTGTGGTGACTCGTGAGAAGAAAATTCAAAAAGATTGAAAAAGTTCATCGTGACATTCACTCAAAGAGTTGTGTTGAAACTCTTTTTTATGTTTCCAAAAATGGTGAGACTACGTTACTGGTTATGAAATGCGTTAAATTATTAAATGAGATCGGGGTGGCGAGAAATTTATAATTGTAGAGATCGTAAATATAATATCTTGTTGTTTTATCATTATACCTACTAATTAAATTTTTATGTTTTGTACGACTTATATAGGCATTTATTTATTACAGGTGCATGGACTAAAGTGACAACCCTCCTTTCAAATCTGCGTCATCTAGAATGGGGTGAGTGTATTTAATGGGCAATTTTTCTAATTTTCTCTCTGTGATAACAATGTTTTTTAAAAAATGAAGTTGGTGAAAAAATTCGACTTGTATACAAAAGAAATTGATTTTAATGAAGTATATTAGTGTGTTTTGTTGCTAATTCATTAAATTAACTCGTAATTATGGTAATAATTCTGTCGTTTTGTTTCAATACAAATCGATTTTAGGTATTTATTAGTAATTTAATTTAACTACATACTTACCAGCATCCCCTCTCACCAGGCATTACAATCACACAAGTTCCGCCATTTAGACAGAAACTTTCTTTGTACTTTTCCTCGCACTCCTCTACTGAAAGAAAGTAGATTTGTATTAATTGGATGATTTTTTTATAATAATTAAGTTAAAGCCAAAGTATTTTCTACTTTTACTGCCAAAAAGTTCCTACAGTCAATTGTTACATGTTCGATTATCTTTTTAAAAATATGTTGTAAAGATTTATAAAATTTGTTTTGAATACTAAAGACAATAGTGTCTAACCAGTCTTATGATGATCACTAAAGACAACTTTAATTAACTAACGTAACTATAAACAGGTAGATAAACAATAAAAATATTAGTACTTGGTCCCAAAAGATTTAAATCTGATTTCACTAATCACTTTGGATAAAATTAAATCGAGATGTTATGACCTGGGGTCAGTGGAGAAAAAGTTTTGAATTTATTTTAGATACATAGGTCAATTAAAATAATGTCTATAGATTTAATATTTTTTTGAAGAGGGATGAAAAAGAAATGATTTCTCCTTTTCAAATCGTTTTAAATATTAACTTAGTAAATTAGTAAAACTTTACTATCTACGCTCAAAAAAGAAAGTTGCGGTTTTATAGCAATATCAAAAGGATGATTGATGTACAGCATTTTCTAGGAAGTCAATGGAAAACTTTTTGAAATAACAATACTTTCAGTAGATAACAAAAATTCATTTACGGAAAAAATTTGAAAATTATTACAAAGAATCTCATGGTGGTCTGTATCGCGATTTCGATCTCGTTAGATCCCATCAGCGCGTCGCAGACTAACTCTACCTGCTGTCTTAATAGAGCGTTTCGAAATTATTGTTTTAAACGAACAATATTGTAGTAAGCAGACATATTGTTGTATCAGACAAAATCAAAACTTTTCCTTAATCGTAGAAAGAAAAAGGATAGAAAGGTACCGTGTTTTTGCTCACTGTTTGATATCCGAACCGTTTCATTAGCGTGCGTCGTTCTACCGTCGACGCCTCTAGTGACGCACTGGTAGACGCCAGCGTCTTTCATCTGCACACCGTTTATCACTAGCGTCGTCTTCTTTCTGAAAAAAATAGGAATAATCGTTCAAAAAAATTAAACCGGTTAATTTTTATTGATTAATCGTAAAAGTAACACACAAAATTATGTTTTCTATTTATCCTTTATTCTTGGGGGAGGTTGATCTGTACAATTTGTCAGACAAACTTTCTCTGTTTTTTATATCTCTCTCTTTTTATCTACCGAGTGTCCTTTCTCGCCTGTTGTAATGACATTCGTCGGCGCGGGCGGTAAACTCTTAATGCTTAATCTTCCTGGAGAACTAATTTTTATCATATATCTACCCAAAGTACGATGCATTTTGATTTTGATTCTAAAGGATAGTAAAATCCTTTTCTAATAAGTGAAACATTCCCCGGGTAAGAAATTGTATTTATTCGATATTATAGGAAAGGATTTTAGCAACCTTCAAGATATATTTCTACAAATAAGAAGTAAATGCGATTTCTTACCCGAGAGGGAAGGTTGCGCTTTCGCCCCAAAAATCAGAGAAACAGTTCCTTCATTTAACAAGTGAAAAAAAAAATTGGAATACAATTTTGAGGTTTTTAATTTTGTTCAAAATTTCGAATGAAGTCCCGCATATTTCCAAATACACAATACTTTTCCTTTATTCTTTTTTCTTATTTTTTTACTTTTCGTTAGAATAGGTTCAGATACTGTAACTTTTCTTAATAGAGGCGTGCAAAAATTAAACTCCTTTTACTTGTGTGTTTTCACATTCAATGTGAAGTTTATTTAAAATAATTTACAGATCGGTCTTATTACAAAAATCGTCATACCTTATCCAGTAGGTATCTCTGAAATTTGTTGTGAGTATAAGATGCGTTAATAAATAAATATATCTACATGACTTTGTACAAAATTAATTAAATAAAATGAAAAGAACAGAATTCGGTCCCTGACTAATGTTTGAACATTGGTGATGTTAACGTAGCACTTATGCTATCGTATAATAACATTATATAANAATATAATAAATAAATTAAGTACCTTTGGGATCATATTCAAAAGTTTGGATTTACTTCATAATTTAGTAAATAAAGTAGTCGATAGTCTTCTTAAAAAAGACTGAGCCTGATGGCTAATTGTTTTCATCGTTTATAAAATTATTATTTCTTTTACGGCAAAAAGGCAATCGAAAAAGGTCCGAATGTGATTATTTAGATTTATCATCAGTTATAAACTACCTAGTCGGAACAAAGATAATGAATGAAAGATTTGTGTAGTTAGTGGGTGACCTATTTCGTTTTATAAGCATATTTATTTTTATTTCGATGCTCCAACATGATTGACACGATTAAGCAATTGTTTTTAGAATAGAGTTTGGCTGTTTTAAAAAACCTCTTTTCCTGGCCGAGTCAAAACAAACAAGTAATTGCTAAATTGATACAATCTTTTCGCGTTAATCTTCACGTCTGGTTTATGGTTTTCTCGATTTAATGCCGATCTGTAGCTGTCCATGGTTCCGCCGTCGTTTTCTTTGATTTATTCACAATCATCTTCCAAACATGAAAAGTGGCGTACTTTTTAGATTTTGCACCTATAGTTGAGAACATCAAAATTGGCATAGTCCGTAATAAATCTGTAAGAATGGACGTATCTTTTATCTTGTTTCCACTTGGGACTGTAGTCGTTTGCTGCTTGAGTAGTACAGACAAAATGAAAAGAGATAAACGAATAACACTAAGTGGTGCAGCGGTTTGGGGTTGTTTACTTACGCAAAAGGTCAGGGTCCGTTTTATAACTTTGCTTTCGTAAATTCCTGAAAATGTTGAACTTTCTTTAAAGTCTGATACTGACAACATGTCGAAATTTTGCTTGTCTGCATCTCTTTCTGTTACACATTAACTGGTATAATGCTATTCCTTTTTCTTTATTAGTGTCCGCTGCAATTCCTATCTGACATCTCTTTTCTATATTATGATATTCCCTATAACGTCTGTCGTGAATAAAAGTAGGCGTTCTGAAAGCAACCGCTCTAGTCTAGTTAGTAAGTTGAAAGAAGAAAGCGAATGCGACAGTTTTATTGCGGACTATGCCAATTTTGAATGTCTCAACTATAGGTGCTTCAGTTGGGGATTTTATCTTACTTGTAAGTATTAGTATTTGCTTGGAGGGCGTCCAAGTATCACTTAAGCAGGACTAGGGAGAAGGGATTCAATATTTTTTTACCGATTTCTTAGGAGCGCTTTAAATTTGTACTTGGCTTTTTACATGGATACAATTTTTTGCGAAATTGTTGGCCAAAATTCTCTTTCGAATGTGAGATTTTTTAAATTATATTAACGTGAGATTCTGTCAAATATACAAATATATGTTTTCTAGAAAATTATGTTGAAACATAAACAAATTTGATGAGCTCTTTGTTTATTAATCCATGGCATTTATATTTTATTTTATTCATAATGGAGACGTTTTTCCCTGGCGTTTTTGTTTATCTCTAATAAACACTTCGGTAATTAAAAATGAACTAAGTATAGACAGGTAGTTGCCAAAGTTCCGTTAATAAATTTTAATTAAACATAAAGTGCACCTTCCTTCTGTATTTTCTAAAGATACAAACTTGAATTGGCGCCAGCTACTTTAATTTCAAAATCTAGCACAAGTGAAACGACACGGCTGTTGGCATGAATTATTACATAATGGAAATGTACATTATCTTCTAATTTGTACGTCTAACAAATTCACATATCTACGTATAGACCAAAACAAACGCTTTGCTGGGATTTCTCCCCGTTACAATAATTCTAAAATTCAAGTAGATGACTACTGCACATATTGCAACTCTATTTGACAAATTGAATTTACGACGCATCAGGTTACCTACCAATTTTGCGATTCCGTCTTAATAGATCTCTTCAGCACGCCATTTATCAAAACTGTATATGGAGTGCTACTGACCAAGAACTTAATGTTATTTATTAATTAGAAGTACTTTGGAAGTTTTATTTTTTACTTTTATTAATATTAATGACATATTGCCTGTTTGGCAATTTTAAATTTCAATAACTGCTAAATATCTACGGTTTACTTTCTTGTTCTAAAGGCAATTTGCTTTAGAAACTTTGATAAACACTGAAGTAAATTAACGTGTTTGTTTTCACGATTTAATCACAGTATTAACACGTAAGAATCTGTTAGTACATCTGAAATCTACTTCTAATATTTTTATTATGAATACAAAATACATAAAAAATGCTTCAAAGCCCGTTAACTGTTTAAATTGGTTATTAAAATTAGATTGTATTTTTAGTAAATGCCAGTAATCAAATTGGACATTTATCTTGCTCAGAAATTATTATTATTTTTTGTATTGTCATGAATAGAATATGAGTACGTCGAAGGTCGCAAAAGCTCAATAAGTGTAATGTAAAAGGATAGCTTTTTATGTTCTGTATCTTTCTGCTTGCGTTTAACATGACTACTTGGGTCATTCTGTATTGGGAACTAATCTGAGATAGTGTTGTGGCTAAATTTTATTTTGTACTTTCAAAGCCCTGAAATTTGCTCTCAAACAACTGTGATAAGAATCTATTTTTAGTTTCATAATACTGAATAGTTTGTGGTAGCAATATTTCAAATTGGCGAGAATTTTGAAACTGGTTCACGCGGGACATTTACAATTCGCTTGCGGGCAGATACAATATCCCTATCTTCGGTTCCCAATGGCCAATAGTGTATAATATGACTTGGCTGTTGCTCAGTTTGTTACCACCGGGTAACTCAGTTCCTCAGTTCTTAATAGTTTGGGAAAATGTAAGAATCGTCTTTTATTAGCAGAATATTTAGTAAATGTCTATATGAAGGCCCCCACCCCCGAAGGGGGTGGGTGGGATCGAGAGGGGGAATCTCCCCCACCACTGTACCATAAAAAGTTCGTGGCGGTTTCACCCCCATTAATAGTTATGGGAGTTAGATGGGGGTGGGGGTAGGGGGAATCGAAAGAGGGTGGTCACCTGAGTAAAACCCCATAAAAACTTTGCGGCGGCCTCACCCCCATAAAACGTTATGGTTAAGTTGATTATTTTGACAATTTTCATACAATATAATTCAAATAAAATTCAATAAAAAAAATATTTTCAAGCGGGTGGAGGTGGGGGATCGAAAGAGGGTGGTCACTTGAACAAAACCCGATAACCTAACCTAACCTACCCTATTGATAAAGATATTTAAATAATGTTTTATATAACTTTCTCAATATTTTTATGTATTTTTCATTAGTTTTACCTTTGAATATTGTTTAAGAATGACTATATAAATATTTACATGCCTGGAAATGTATAAAAATTGGCATATTTATTAACTTTGAACCCCTATAACTTTTTATGGGGGTGAGACCGCCACGAACTTTTTATGGTACAGTGGTGGGGAAGACCTCCTCTTTCAATCCCCCCATCGGGGGTGGGGTCCATCATCTAAACCTTTACCGAATATTTAAATTCGTACATAGGTATTAAAAAAGTTGAATTTTTATCGCAACAAACGAGCCCCACGTAAGTCTAAAACCACATTTCGACTTACAAGGCCATAATTATAACTTTAGATTGTCATTTTTTTGTGACAAACGAAATGTCTTTTATAAACATGAAAATAATGCTTTCTTTACCTCTTGTAACTGATACGCGTTCGCGCGTTTGGGTGCAGCATGTGTCCGTCTTTACGCCAAAGTACCTTTGGCGTTGGAAATCCCCGGAATTTGCAGACCAGCCGCAGTTTCTTTCCGGGCTTCAGGTTAGGCGTCTTGTTGACGATTGCTGGAATTTTCGGCGCTTTCAACACTGAAACAAAAAACTGCAATTTATAACAACACATCTTCCGTTTCCAGCACATAGGAACTACGGTCATATATTAATTAAGAATATATTTATATGACTATATATACTACTAAATACATAAACATTTAAATTAATATTATATATNATTAATATTATATATATATAACAAAAGCGTTCAGTGACGTATGGTGACTTTTATTAAGGGCTTAGGGAGTTGATGCTGATTGCATTTTAGAGGGCTTATCTATGATGAGGACGAATTATAAGAATTATGTAGGTACAATTAATTAATTAATTAATGCAGTTTTAATAGTGTAAAAATATTTTATGCTATAAACTGTCTTCTACATTTAGATCTAGTAGCCTGGTATATTCTCTAATTGCTTCTCCATAAGTAACTGATTATGTCATTTTGCTAGCGTCTCATGTCAATCTGTACTTATTTTTTAGAAATGTTACTTTAGAAAAAGCTTTTTCAGCTGCACAACTTGTTATCAGCATTGTTACTACGTAAATGGATTTTTAGAAATGGTACAAATTTGGCAAAATGTTTGTGAGATTTGTGAAAGTCCATTAGATTTTGAACTAGCTATACCATGCATATTTCGAGACTAATACCCTTACTTTAATATTCGTAGACATTTTTGCACCCTATTGCGTTATATACGTGCTTACGTTACCGTAGCGATTTCGATCAAATCTAGAGATAGGTACCTGTGTTATATTTAATTAAGGCAAACGACCCTAAACGGGCGGCTTCGCTTTGAACGCGTGTTTTTTGGCGAAAAAGAGTGGACTAAAGGGGGTGGATGTGTGGCGGCTAGGCATTAAAACGCGAATTCTCGGAATGTATTTCAAAGGTAGCACGCGCGCAGAATACTAAGTTCGATGTAACAATGCCATTGAATTCGTTAATAGTTCTGGCCAAATATGCAGCAATGCCGCCGAAATATGCACCGAGATGCAGTTAGGAATGCAGGTGGAGAACATCTACAGTGACGGTGGCGGCGTGTTGTGGCGAATTGTATTTTAATTTTGTAGATCAGAGATCATGCAGGATAAGGGAGCATATCTTCAAGAAAACAGATAGTCGATGTATAGTACGTTCAACAAATAATGTACTAGTTGGCATTCAGAAGTGTTTTATGCAGTCATTGTGCGATTAAATATAATACATAATGTACATAATAACCTGAGCAAGTTGGAACCCATTAATTCATATCTCAAGGTTCCATAAATTAAATTAATAATCTTACAATACAAATTGATGAGGATTACATTTTGGAATGATCTGAAAATATATTTCCCAAAAATGATACGTTGCCTCTGGTGTTTTCGTATTCGAACTTATAACGACACTATGATTTTGATCTTGATCTTTTTGAACATGTCTTATTGTCTTTAGGGAAAGTGAAATCCATAACGAATGAACTTTATTATACTCTTATTAATTGTTTCATCCTTCATGGGTATTCTCAGAAGAAGTATTGATAGCCTTATCTTTTTTATTAATTTCTCGTGTGACATGTGGGCATAGTTTGAAATATTTAGGTGTAAATAAACCTTTTTTTTCTTTAACTACTTAAACCTACTTAAACCTGAACGTTTACTATTGTTTATAGAAAACTCTAGTGATTACAGTAATGACAATAACTAGAAACCTGATGAAATATATACTAGCAACGATATTAACAGCAAGTACGTAAGTACTATAAAGAAAGCAACGCTTTTGTTGTTTCATTCATGAAAATAATCTACATATAACATAAAGTACATTTTACAAAGAGTGATTTTAATATTAATACAAATTAAATAAGTAAACTTTACGTAATCTTCGCTTATTAAAATTACGTTTAAATTTAGTTGGTTATTTTATTTTTTGTTTGATTGACGCGACTATTAATTATGAACCACTGAGGATGTAATATGTTGATATTTTACGGTATATCTTAATCGTATATCTGGTAAGAATCTGCAATTATAGGCCATTAATGGCCCTGTTACTTTGTATGAATTATGGAGTTCGGACCACCCTGCACATTAAATGGTACGTTTGGTAAAAGGTATGACAGTATGCATTTTGACCGAATTTACGTATTTATTAAATTCTTAAGGACTTATGTATGTATGTATCAGAAGCGTTTTCAAGCTTCCTCAACTTTTGAGAATGATTGAAAATGGTAAAACACTTTATTTGTATATGCAGTGGAACTAGGTTGTAGTGAACGCTGGTTATACTGGGTGTTTATTATTAACGAACAGAAAGAACAAAACTTTTCAGTTAAACAAGCATTATTTCGTAGTTGTGTCTAACAAATACATTTATAACGAACGATCGGCTAGAGCGAACGTTTTTGAACAAGAAGTTAGAAGGTACGATTGGTTATAATGAACTAGCGTTTCTTTGTAATTTAAATCCAATTTGACAACTTCTATAACCCATTCATATAGGTATTTGTTTAGAATTAAATTTTCTTCGTTGAGAGTTACAACGCATAAAGTGAAATCCGGTCCTGCTCTATCAGTTTGGTTGGCTATTTTAGAAGAATTTAGTTATTTACATAGGTCAGTATTATGAGTAAGATTGAAAGTATTTAACGGGCCTTTAGTTTTTCTGTGTTTGAATACGCTTTGTATAACTTAAATTCTAAATGCGCCAATAATGATGGCTAGACATCGTCTTTAAGGGCATTCGATTTTTGCAAGTCTAACGATTTCGAGGCGCTTCTAACCTAAGGCTACGTTATTTTTATTCGGAATTTGTATTTCATGATTTTTTGACTTATTATCACACAAACCTATAAGATGGCCCATAAAAATAGGTTTTATTGTAGAAAAGATCAAATCTAATTACCCTATTCATATTGCGAAGTAGGTACTTGTCAATCAATTTTAAAAGAAATTAAAAGTAAATAAATAGAATAAAAAGCTTAAGTAATTTCGTTTACTTGATGATTAATATTTCGTGATAATCATAAGTAAATATTTAACCATCTTCATAGTGTTGAATTTTCAACATACATGATTCATTGGTTGCCTATCTTAGGGGATAAAACGTCCAGCATATGTGAGTGTTTTTACCTTTGCTATGCTGGAATTAATTTTACAAATTTTATTTACTGAATTCATCCTTATAAATGAAATATAATGATGTTTATTGAATGACTATTTACTACGTATTTATTAAATAACCATTTAGCAACTATATCGTTTTGATCTTTTATCTTAAGTCCTTATTTTAGTACGTAGCACTTAACCCTAGACATTTTTTTATAATTTTATTGTGTATGAAACTTTTAACCCCTGTTTGATCGTTGTCTAACTAACATTTGTGCTCTGGCAGCGGTTTAGGCTTTGAATCCCCATATCACCCATTTGAGGTTAAATTTTAAAAAAATTCTTTCTTAGTGCTTGCTTACATTGTATGAGTAACGCCTATTCAGTCTACAGTAATTGATTAATTAAAGCCATTAGAAGGTAATTGGTAGCAGATTTCAATTTAATTATTACTTAATTTTATCTCTTTGCTAAAGGTAAAGGTATATTATCAAACATCCTAGTAACGTGTTACAAAAAAGTTTACTCCCAAAGGAGTTACAATTAAAAAAAGAGCGTTCGTATATAAGACATTTTATTAGATTATGTGGATCAAGAGATTCAAAATGTTACCCGTCTCCCTCCTTCCAAAATAAAGTGCATGCTAGATTGCGCTAAGTTTATTTTAAAATAAGACCGTTCGGTGGTTTCATACACGTACCCACGATGAATGGTGTCACGTATTTATATTTAATTTTTATAACTTCCAAGCCGTTAAAATTGTGGTTTTACAGCATGTTAATGGGTGCACACATATTTTAAAACGCACTTGTATTAAAAGATTACATCTCGTTCATAATGCAACAGATCATTAACGAGCCTTTACTTCTTGCCAATACAAATACTTTTTTTTACCGTAGATATTTATTAACCGCAGAATTTTACGTTAGTTACCGTATGAAAATATTAGTTTGAATTGTGCTTCGAGATTTTAATTAAATATCATAACACATTAGTGTACAGTTCTGTTCTTTGTAAATGGACAGTAAATGACAACAACTTCATCGAATTTGCGGCCTTCACTTTGATAATCTTGCAAAATTGAACTGTAATCTATACTAGGAAAAGAATTGCCAAGTGTTTTCTTAATTCAAATTTTTCATTTTCTGCCACCATATATAGCCTAAGAATTCGTCAATTTTAACATTTTCATGGTTCCGCTTTGGGTAATTTTAAAATTGAAATAATATCAAGTATCTATCGTCATACTTGGTGATTTATTGTTCATGAACAAATGCTTACATGGTCTTAATTTTTTGTGAATGAAAACGGATTCTTGTTAGTAAAGGCTACGTTTATCATCTATGTTTGTTTGTTTGTTTGTAACAGAGACATCAAAGCAAGGTATAAAATTAAATTTGTTATGCGCCTAAAAAAGTTAATTTACGTTAAATTATTGAGAAGCGCTCGTAGATGATGTAAGTATAGCGATAGATATAAGTGTTCCTGGTGACGAAAACTAGGATAAGGACTCACAAAAATAGTAGCCCGAAGGTTATTCAGGTGTGTTTATGCCTAACACCGCAGCTGTACGCTGAAAAACTCCACTCGGGTTTTAAATTAACATTTTTCACGTTAGAAAATAATTCTGGAGTTTGTCTTTAGATCTTCATAATAAAGATGATACAAAATTTCTGAAACACTTTTATAACTAGACAAATTACTGTAAAAACAAAAGGGAAAATAATGTATCGCTAAATAAAGAATGTACTGTATTTACAGTGGCGTAACTAGGGTTAGTGGCGCCTAGGGTAAGCTCTGAAAGTGCCATTTCATTCCTAATCGAAAAAAAAGTAAAATGGTAAAAATTAAACGTATTCTATTCATAATAAAGATGATAGAAAATTTCCGAAACACTTTTATAACTAGGTAAATTACTGTTAAAATAAAAGGGAAAATAATGTATC